ATTATTATTTCTGATTTCTTTGCTGATACTTTCTATCTTTCCACTCATTTCAAGAATCTTTACCCCCTTCTTGGAGCTTTTTCATTATAGCTGCTTTAAGTCCTGGTTAGATAATTCCAATATCTGTATCATTTCAAAATTAACATCTTTTCATTGATTTTCCCATATAAGTTGAGATTTTACTGTTTCTTTGTATGCCAAGTAACTTTGGATTACGTCTTGGGTATTTTGAATACAGGTAGTCCCCAAATTACAATGAGGTTCGTTTCTGACAACTCTATCATAAGTTGGTTCTAACTTAAGTCAAATACCTCATTAAAAAAAAAATATTGCCTTTAGTACCAGTATCTTTATAAATGTGGTAGCATTTTGAACAGTACATCATAAAATTGAACATATGCATGTGCAAATCATAAAATGATAACATCAGCAAATTACATACTGCAACATACTACTAATGATAAAATGTACAAAAATATGGATGGTTGTATGTGCAGTTTATTGTAACCTGTATGTATCCTAAGTAAGTTACTACCTGTATTATAAGACTGGATATTGTTTAAATTCTAAGGAAAATGTTGATTTATTTTTAGCAGGCAGGTATTTTGGTTCAGACCACAAGTTCCAATGAGTTTTCTTTTGCTTGTAATTTTAATGTCAGTTACGTTTTCAAAGACTTTGAAATGCTCTTTGGATCTGTACCATGTATGTAACATTCAGTGACCAGCCTGGAATTGGGAAATGGTCTCTCTTATTTTTGTTTTCAAACTAAATAGAATCCTTTATATTCTGTTTAGGACCAGACCCACACATGCATAACTAGGGGGTGAACCCAGGTGTTCTTAAAATCTGTACAGGGTCACTTTATAAGCTCCTCCTTCTCTGAAATCTCCTCTATACTTTTGAGATTCCTGGAGCTCTGCTTTTCAGTCTTCCAGCCAGAAAGCTGGAACTTTCTTTATCTTGTTCTGCTGCATACTTGCAATTATATCCAGGGCCAAGCAATGGGAGAACAGAAAGAGACAAAAAGCAATGAAGATTTGCTCACACCCTCTTGAGGCACTCCTCAGAAGGAAGATGGGGCAATCTACTTCCGTAGTGATACTGCCACGAAAACCCAAGGAGGGGTTGCTGAGTCTGGTCCGACTCAATGGCACATAACAGCAACAACAACTTGAGAGTACATCTCCTCTGATAAAAGAGGAATGTTCTCCAGCTTCAGAGTTTTAGTTGCCTACAGGCTCCCATTGCCACTGATGTTACTGACAGGAGACTTTTTTTTGTTTTGTTTTTTCTTTTTTCACTTCTGTTCATGAGCTAGAGGGCTTCTCCCGGAGCATTCTTCATGCTAATGCTCACTTCATGTTTCGAACTAGTTTGAGTCCAGGCTGGAGGGATACTGGAAGAGAAAATAGGTAAATTATTCTGCTTTATAGTTGAGTGATACTTCAAATCATGTTCTTTCTCATCAATCTACTTGCTACCATTTACTTTTCAGAGCACTCAAATAGCTGCTCCATGCATTCTATAGCTATGGTCAAAAGGAGAGATGGGATAGGGTGTGATTACATAATCTTAACTGCAACTGGAACTCTGTTATATTGTATGATTACTTCTAAATGTGTAAACCTAGTCTAGATCTCTTCCTGAGCTCTAGCCTCTTGCATCTAACAGTCTACTCAATATGTCTCCTTGAATGTTTCACTGATACCTCAAATTCAAGGTATCCAAAACTGAATTCATAGTCTTACATTTCTTACCTTGTAAATAGCACTATAATCTGTCCTCAACTAAAATGAGAAACCTAGAAATAAACTCTTCTCTCTCACACATATCCAATCAATTCTTTCTTCCTAAATCAATTGCCACTTCTCCATCTACATTATCACTTAGTTCAGCCTATAAACACTTCTTTCTGGTCCTTCTGGGTGGTTTATACCTCAAGACTCATCCCCCACTTATCTATTCTTCACTTTGCTTCTTGAGTAATCTTTCTGTCATACAAATCTAATTAAGCAACATTCCTTGCTTAGGATTCTTCAGTGACTACCCATGGCTTCTGGAGTATTCAAACTCCTTAGCCTATGTCCAATATATAATCTCTTGCTACACCTCTGGTTCTCAGTTTCTGGGCTGAAAAGTCAATAATGTGAAGTGGTTTGTTCTTAATAGTAGCTTTATGCATTGCATAGTGTCTTCATTCTTATAAAATAGAATGTTATAATTTCCTAAGCATTGGCTTTAGTTTCTCAACCATAACTAATATACAGAGTACTAATCATGACATTTTCTCCTTTTAAGCAACCAACAATTAAAAATATCAGGAGGGAAAAATTGCTTAGCCCTGTAATAGAGCACTAGAGGTCTGGCATAATCATCTCTCACAATGGATATAGCCTTCATATGAAACTCCTCTTCCCTTAATTTCTGAACTAAAGTCTTATTTGGGTTGCATTTGACAGGCACAGACAGTTTTCACTTCCAGAAACAATGAATTTCTAGTGCTCTTATCCTAGATGATATTGTTTATAAGACAATTTTAGGGAGCAGCACTTTATCTGGTCGTATGTGCTGACACTATCCAATAAGTGCTAAAAATAGCACAATGAAAGGCAATGTTGAGAAATTATGTGAGTAACACCAAGTAATAAAAGGAAACTCTTCTATTAAAATTTCCTTGAAAACATAATGAAAAGCCAGTTAGATGAGGAGTAAATCTATGAAACAATAAAATGAGACAGATCTAGGTTTGGAACTTGCTCCTTCCAAACCATATGACCTTAGATCAGTTCCTCGAGCTCCCTGAATTTAATTTTCATCATCTGTAAAAGCAATATTTGCTAATGAAATGAGATAACAGAATGCATATAGACATATGTGCTCAATATATAAGAATTTCTTCTCTAAGGGAATCAGGCTTTTAGAATAAGCATTCATGGTGTGAATTTTATGCAGAACACTAAAACTTTGACCAGATTGTGAAAAATTTTAACTCTTCTCACTTCCCACATTACACACTCTCCTAATCCAGGGAATCTGAGGAGGCAAGAAGACCTAGAGGAGAATGATCCTTGAAGACAGAGAAGAACATCTCCTACCTTTATGTACCTCAGGATAATACTTCTGCTGCTCCTCTTTGGCTTTCTTAAAAGAAATATGACTAGGTGAATGAGAATACAAAACAAACACATTGCCATTGAGTCGGACCCAACTCATTGCGACCCCTCCTTGGGTTTCTGAGGTGGTATCATTATGGAAGTAGATTGCCCAAACTTCCTTCCAAGGAGTGGCTGGTGGGTTTGAACCACCAGCCTTCTGGTTAGCAGTCAAATGCCTTAGCCACTAGAGCTCCTGTGAATGAGAATAGCTGCTAAAAAATGTGAAAGAGGCGAACACTCTGCTGGCTTCCCATCTTTTGTGCTTTTTCCTTAATGCCCTTCTAACTCTTTTTGTGGGTACTCTGAGTCCTCCAAGAATTTCTAGGTTGACTTGATGTCTCCATTTTTTACCTTCATTTTATCACTATTAGTTTCATCTGCCTTTTTCAAGGAGTGTCTACTACAAAATTCTCTCCTCATTTTCTCTTCCTCCTCTCAAAAAATTGTACTCTTATGTAGCTTTCTCCTGTTTAGAAAGACCTGAGGAAAAAAATTCACCAAAGATATCCATGATTAATAAATGGTTAATATGTTACCCTTCCTAGGAGGTTTTCTTTTAAGGAAGGTAGGCTTGAAGACTGGGCAATACCTTAATTTAAAAATAAAAAAATAACTATTTTAAAATATAGAATTCTATGTCCCATGTTTTTGTGAGGGGATGTTAATATTTGAGGCCATGGAAGACTTTCCTAACATCCCTCAGATCACATGAGGGAGCAGCCACTTCACTGCTTATGTGTCATTTCAGCCAGTACTGTGGTGAAGTCATTGGAAAGCCACACAGGGCTAGCAGGGGCTTGGAGATTTTTGCTTTTCTTGTGTCATTCCATTTGCCATGACAGACAAGAAGTAGAAACAAACAGTCAAAAACCTTGATTAAGACTCCTAAGGAGTTAGTTATTTAGGACCTTTCTAGTGTTCACTTTTAGCTCTTTTAGCAAAATATCTGAGTTGTGTTCAAAAGGGATTCCAAGTTTTTAGCCTGATGCTTTTGCCCTCACATTGTGCTTTAATTAAATAGATAGCTCATATCAAGTGTTAAACTAATTGTCATCAAGTAAATTCCAGCTCATGACAACCCCAGAGTAGAAATGTGTTCCATAGGGTTTTCAGTGGCTGATTTTTTCAGAAGTAAAAGCCAGGCCTTCTTTCTGAGACACCTCTGAGTGACTTGTACCACCAACCTTTTGGTTAGCAGCTGAGTGTGTCAACCATTTGCACCACCCTGGGCCTCCTATCAGGTGTTAGAAGGTACTTTTTAGAGAGTAAAAGGCTTGACTCATGTTTGCAAAATAATATTCTAAACATGAGTTATTAAAATGGCTATGTTTTCTAAGGATCTGAAAAGCCCCCTTTCTTCAGGAGTTGTGGGAGGTATGACGACTGTATTTTATAGAAAAATAAACAAAAGCCTGGAGACATTGAGATCTGCACCAGGATATACAGTGAATCCCCATGTGGGCAAAGTAAATTTTTGTATTAGGGTTAAAATTAGAGCACTTCCCCTTCTTTCAGCTGAGGAAAGTTCTGCTAGTTAAGGCTGGGTTGAGAGTGGGGAAGATGTTAAAATAAGCCTCTTGGCCAATGCCTTAAGGTGGTTGAGGTCATCCAAAGAGGAAGGATAAATCATGGTTTTGCTTTGATTTGTTCTGGTGTGTGATATTGTGCACTCTGTTAGACAAGCTGCTTTCTTCCCCTGTTCCTCTAACAGGCAGTCTCATTGCTGGAAATGACTGTCAGCTGTTTTCCTTGTGTACCCATCATCACATGGCCCACAACCGGAGCCTGGGAAGCCTGACCACAGACCGACATCTCCAAGGCATGAATAATTAGGTAGGCATAATGGAAGGCACTCACTGCACCCTCCAATTGCATAAGCCCATTACAGAACTCTGCTACATCAGCTTCTGTCTTCCAAGGGGAGAAGTCAGAGGATTTTCATACAAGGGCACTGTAACTATAGACAAATCCAATAAAGGCTTTCATAACTGCTACCAAGTCAGGGAGGGGTCAGACATCATCAGCCTCAGCCAGCAGCCCAACGAACATCCAGGCGACATATTTTTCAAGCAAACACCCACAAAAGACATTCTAACTGAGCTGTACAAACTCACAGCGGAGAGGGAGCGACTGCTGGCCAACCTGCTGAGTTCAGACTACATCCTCGGGATTACGATGGGCAACCAAGAGGGGAAACTGCCCGAACTGTCCGTGAGCCTGGCACCCGATGACGACTGTTTCCAGAGTGCTGGAGACTGGCGGGGGGAGCCCCCGTTGGGATCTCTCAATAAGAGGAGCACCCATGGGAACAAAAAGCCCCGGAGATTCGGCGGGAGGAGAGAGAGCTTTCAGACACTTCCACAGAAAAGGATAAGAAGAAAAGGACATGGAAGCCAGGAATCAGCTGCTCAGATGGGGAAGGACCGGATCTATTCCAGTAACTCATTTTCTCCTTCTCAAACAAGGCCTAATCTCTTAGAGGAAAGAGGGAACCTACTCCCAAATAGGGCACTTACTGCATCCCTGCAGAGGAAAGAGAGCTGCCCCCCAGAGATTCCCAGGACACTGGATGCAGACCCCGGCTTTGGGAGCTTTGGGGTGGCTTCTGAGAATACTGGGTTTGGGAGAGTGGTGCCTCCTGACCACAGCTCCACTGAGGCCAAGGCAGGCCATGATGGTGTTCAGGGGATGCAGAGGAGGCAAACAGGTTTGTCTGAAAGCCACAAAGACCCTGAGAAGCATCCCAAGGCAGAGAGTGGCCGGAGGGAGAAGTCAGCTGAGCAGTCTTGCAGGAAGAAACCTGTTTCTAAAGTGGTGGCCAAAGTCCAGAATCTGTCTGCTCAGGTGCAAAGAGTAGTTCAGATGCATCCTGAGGGTGAAGAAAGGATTGCCATTTGTCCAGAAGCCCAAGCTGAGTTTGTATTGAAAGCTGACTTGCTCACCCTCCCAGGAGCTGAGGCTCAGGTTCAGTGTCCTCAGTGGAGCAAAAGGCAGCAAGGGGACCAGTCACTGGTTAGATTAAGAGCCTCCACTTTTAGTTCATCAGCCAGTGCTGAGGGGGCTGTAAACAAGATCCTTCTGAAGGTGATAGAGAGTGAGAAGTTAGATGAAGCCACTGAAGGGAAAAGACTAGGCTTCCCCCTTAGCACGAAAGCCACCCATACCCTCCCAGAAACCAGAAACAAGAGGAAAACTGGATTGCCTCTGGGTGGCCACAAAACCTTGTTTCTGGGTCTGCCCCACAGCGTAGACCCTGACTCCTCAGAACCCAGAGGTGATGAGAAGAGGCCATCTCCTCCAGCACTGCCAGCTCTCGGCATAGTATTTAATAATTCATCCCCTCAGTCCCAGTCCGGCACACACAAACGGATGCCACCTGTTTCCTCTCCTCTGTCTCCAAGGCTGCCCAGCCCTCAGCAACATCATAGGATCCTCCGGCTCCCTTCACTGCTTGGTGAGAGGGAAGCTGCTCTTAATGACTTACCTGCTAGGAAGAGTGGTGTCATCTCTGGGTCCCCCTCTGCTGACACCTTGGAGCCACCATCCTCTGCAAAGTTCACGGAGACCAAAGGAGCCAGCCCAGCCTCCCTCAGAGCAGGCCAACCTTGGTTGGTTCCTGGGGAACCTTTGGAAAAGAGCTTGGGGCCAGGGAAGACCACAGCTCAGCTTCAGCACCAGTCACCTTCAGGTTAGTTCCTGTGTAAAATGTTTTAAATCTGTTCCTGGGTAATTAAAAGACTATCAGTCTGCTTATGCTATTCAGAGATTGGCTAATAAACAATGAACCCAAATCTCTAGGCCTCTTAGTCAATTCGGCTTGTAGCAAGAAAAGTGGAAATGGTAGAGGGGAGTATGGAGATGTAAAGATGATGCTGACTTAGGGGACAGAGAGTATAGTTGTTTCCAGAAAAAATACCTTTAAATGTCTCTCTCTCTCTTTTTTTTTTTTTTTTTTGTTACACTCTAAAGCTGCCTCCTTGGTTACTTAATAAAGGACTCTCGAAGAAAACATGAACAGGCAGAGAGAAGTAGCCACTTGTCTCTGCCTTTGGTGCTAACACTGGGTAATTGGCTCCTTGACCTAAATTTTTCTGCTGTTCATGCTGCTGGTTCTTGGGTTTGTTGGGATACTCTGAGAAGAGGAGCAAAAGCAAAGCACACTGTATCTTTGCCCACTTGTGTAATTGAAAGGTTTTCTGTTTTTGATAATTACCCCTGTAAGCTCCATTATTTTATGGCAAAAAACATTTTTTTTTTCCTTTTACCAGAACATAGATGAATTCAGTGAAAATTTTGGTTCACATTTTTTTTTTAAACTCTAAGTTTTTAATTCCTAAAACAATCATGATATAACTGTTTGTTGGAAAGTTATATTTTCTTTATGGGCTACTCCTGTTGCTGATATAGCACAGTTTCTTACTTAAAAGATGCTGCAGAAGTAATCTGGGCTGTGTTCTTAATGTGATTGAAAACTTTGCAGGAAAATAATTTTGGAGGTTCAACAAGTAGCCTAAAGACCAAAAAAGACAATATATAGTGTCAGTCCTGTATTCATTACCTGTTCCAAGCCAATGTGGTAAAATGTTCAGGATTTTGTATGCCACTGTGTAGGCAATATGTTCTTTTTCAGTAATCCTTTAACGGTATGTGGTCAGTGCTTTGTCTCGGAAATAGATTGTAATATGCTCTATGGAATCTCTGGGGCTTTTTGTTCCCATGGGTGCTCCTCTTATTGAGAGATCCCAACTATGCTATATGGTCTGTTAAAGGTTAGAGAAAACATCATGCCTATGTTTTGAGATTAAATTATCTATCTAGGAAAGGAATTTCAAAAGCTGTCTGCATTTTCAACTCTTGTCATTTTATGAGCTTCTATAGATCATTGATCAAGGGAGTGTTGCCTTACAAATGTCATAAATGTTTTTCATCTTCCTTTTGCAATTTATTTTAATTTGGTAAGACTTGCTACCTTCAATACATAACCAGTAAAGTCATAGTATTGTGAATTTTATATAGTATATCACAGACCCTGCTGATGAAAATTCTTTTTCTCTATGAACATTAAAGCCTTGGGATTACTTGGCAAAGAAGGTCTCCAGAATTATTAAGTGACAGACTTCTGCAAACATGGACATGGAATAGCCCATGTCTTAACTCCAGAGGGTTCTTTTTAGAAATCATACCAAATTCTAGGATTGTATGAGCCCCTCATCCTGAAACTGTGCCTTAAATACATTGATCTTTAATAAACCTTTTATTTTCTGACTTAGGGTAATCTTATTATTTTGTTCTTCTTTTTCTATATTAGAAAAATATATAAAAAGCTCCATTGTATCTGGGTCAAGACATGTACCCAGAGAATATTCAGCTTCTCTTGGTGGCTGACCATGAGCCCACTGAGGGATAAGTTCAACAGATGATCTCCCTTTCCCTTGGCTTCTCCATACAATTACCCATAACCATTCCGTTTAGTTTGGCATATGCCCTTCACATAGACCTTTGGTGATACTTTCAGGAGCTGGTCATAAGAATCATAGGGATGCCTTGCCACGGAGACCTCGCTTGCTTCTAACTTTATAAAAGCAGTAGTTGGAAGGAGAAGGAGAGTAGGAGTGGGAGAGGCCTACTTTCCTGGCATGGATAACTTCTCCTACACAGAGACTTTCTACCAGGAGTTCTCTCTTATTGGCCCTTCTTTGAGAGCCATGAGCAAAGGAGTTCTCCAGGTAGGATCTTTGATTTATATCCAAATATCTGTGGCTGATGGGTTGGAACTGTCAAATTTTTGGTAGCAGCTGAATGCCTTAACCACTGCACCACCAGAGCTCCTTTGTTTAGAGAGAAATAGGATTAAAAATTGCAGATGCTATATTATTATTGTAAGTGCTGTTGTGAGTCAGCTCTGACTCATAGCGACTCCATGACAACGGAACAAAACACTGCCCAGTCCTGTGCCATCCTCACAATCCTTGCTATACTTGAGCCCATCATTGTAGCCACTGTGTCAATCCATCTTGTTGAGGGTCTTCCCCTTTTTCACTGACCCTCTTCTTTCCCAAGCATAATATCCTTCTCCGGGGAACAGTCCCTTTTGACAACATGACCAAAGTAGGCAAGATAAACTCTGGCCATTCTCTCTTCTAGCATTCTGGCTGCAGTTCCTCCAGGACAGATTTGTTCATTCTTCTGGCATACCATGGTATTTTCAGTATTCTTCACCAACACCATAATTCAAAGACATCAGCTCTTCGGTCTTCCTTATTATACCACATTATTTCCATATAAAACAAATATGGAAATTAACCATTGCACCACCAGGGCTCCTTCTGTAGCCTTGAGTCCCTTTTGTATTCTGGATCCTTTGACTTTCTGCAGATGGTGGTGGGTTCTGCAGGGAGAATTTTCCTGATTCTAATTGTTTTGGTCTTTCACTTAATTTCTCCTCCCACCAACCCCAGAAGAGGCCTCAGAAAGCCCCCAGAAGTTCAGATGGAGGGATATAATTCATTTGTCATTACTGCACCCTGGCCTTTTATTTGAATCCATCTCCGGCCTGCTCCCATGTTAGCTATTAACCAGATCAAGTTTATGGTCTGTAGACATTTATATCCTGTGGAAATAACATCTAGGTATTTTATTGAAGTGATGTGATTAAGATTATCAAAAGGTCTCATTAACTACTCAAGTAAGAGATTAAGTCTGGCAAAAGTAATCAGATCCCTTTCCAGTTGGAGGACTCTTTAGTGTTATAGGCAAATAGTAATTCCCAGGAAAGAGTGAAATCCACTTTTCCTTCTCACGGGACCTTGCAGTAAAAGCCAACATTACCATCTACACAAGAAAGAAATAGGATAGAGGTATCAAAGAGGCTTTCGACCCATGCACAATTGGCTTTGTAATTTGTCCAACTCTTCATTTTAAGGCCCATGCACAGGAATGCCTTGTCTGGGGGTGATATGATCAAACAGATTGCATATTAGCAGTAAATGGCAGCCAGGTTGTCCTCTCAAGGAACGATTCCCCCACCCCCAAACCTTGGAATTGATTTTATAATATTTCATTATGATGATAAGCCTGCTGCAGAAGGTTCCCAAGACTTTGAATTGACTTGATGACAGTAGATTTGGTTTTGGTTTTTGGGAGTTGTGCTTACTTGCAAGGCAGTTTTTGTGGGGCTTAGTGCTGGAATTGCTTTCCTTTTTACTGGCTTTCATTTACCTTTGATATGAATAGATCCTTCTAGTGCCAAAGGAATCACATGGAACTTGGACCATTTTACTCAGGAAAATGCCCAGTGCTTTAGATTGCTCTTGAACAATCTCATGATCGTGTTCCTTTGATTGAAGTCACTGAAAGGGGAATGGAAGCATTTGCCCCAGGCATAGTTCTTGTAAGTCATTTGATCAATTCTTGTGCTCATCAAAATATGTAATTAATGTCAACTGACTAAGGATTGATAAAGCATACTTGTAATATATTTTATTATATCTAGTACTACAATGAAAGCTTTGATTTCTCTCTGGACATACATCATGAAGAATAGATATAAATTCTTTCCATATTAATGTGGATATTTGATGCAATTCTAGTAAAATTTAAAGGAACTTCACAGCATTAAGAGATATATGTAGTAGTTAAAGATTATTACAGAAAGCGTATAGTACAAAGAAAATTATCTGTAGTTAGTGTTTAGAGATAAACCAAACCAAAACAAAACCACTGTTATCAAGTGGATTCCAGCTCATAGTGAACCTATAAAACAGAGTAGAACTGCGCCATAGGGTTTCCAAGACTGTAAATTTTTACAAACGCAGACTGCCTCATCTGTCTCCTATAGAGTGGCTGGTGAGTTGGAACCACTGACCTTTTGGCTAGCTGCTGAATGCCTTAACCACTGTGCCACCAGAGCTCCTTGTTTTAGAGATAAAATAGGTTTTAAAATTGCTTATACCATATTTTACCTATATTAAACAAATATAGGAATTAAATTGATAGGAAATGCATTGCTATATACTCTTAAGAAAGTAATAGGATTATAATAGAAAAGATAAACATTTAGCAATCCAGCTTTGGTGGGTGTAGTGGGCGAAGCATTTGGCTGCTAACTGGGTCAGTGGTTTGAACCCACCAGCCACTCCATGGAAGAAAGAAGAGGCAGTCTGTTTTTGTAAAGATTTACACCATGGGAAACCCAATAGGAGGTCATTATAAGTCAGAATCTACTTGATGGCAGTGAGTGAGTGAGCTTACATTAATATGAACACCAGTAATAATGTATGCACCAGAGTAGTGACATTCTTGTAGTAACAAAAACATCTGGAAACAATTTGAATGTCTGTCAGGAAAGAAATGGTTAAATAAGTTATTGTGCATTTGCTTTGTAATATTATGAGGTTATAGTATTGAACTAGATTTGTATCTAGCAATTTGCAAAATAGTATATAGAATGCTCTTAGCTTTTTAAAAAGCAAGTATTCCCCTACTTATATGCGTGTATACGTGTTTGGAATGGAGTTGAATATCATGGAGAAAAGTATGGAAAAAGACCTGTCGGTGGTTGTTCACATTCCTTGTTCAGATCAAAGCAGGGTAGGGTGGGGAGGGAGGTAAATGGCAAGGAGGCAAATGCAGTGGGGAGGAGCACTAACTTTTTCTTTACATATTTTTGCATTGCTTCCCTGGTTGTGG